CCTACAGTTATAACTTTTATTGCTGTTATTAATGAAGACATAATCATCTCAAAACAATTGTACCAATACTTTTTAATAAATTACTAAGTTATTTTATTTTGCAACCAATTTTCGAACAATATTAGAAAACTCCAACCGGCATTTCTATTAATAACATACCTATTCTCTCTTTATAAACATTTCATCAGTAAATGTGAAAAATGTTGAGTTAGCTTAGTGAAAACGGAATAATTTCTGTTTTATTATCAGACTGAGAGTTAATAAACACATTCGACTGTTGTGTATGAATTTTATAATTGCACCTTTACAATAGCATGTAGTAAGTCTCGGTTAAATTAAATCTAATTTACGAAAAGTACTTCTTTCGTTAAATTGTCGTTAATTCCTTATCAGTAACCAAGTTTTCCAGTAACATCCAACATATCCCTCATAATTCTATAATTATTTCATAATGTGTCGTATGGACAACTTTCACCTACCAATCCTTACTGCACACCAAAGGTTACTTATAGGTATATTACGAAAGTGTTGTTTGATGTTCCTTTTAATTTAAACTCTACAAATGATACACTAGCCATCAAAATTAACACACCAGTAGAAAAGTGAAATAAATTCAAAGTTAATATTATCACAAATCACTAATCCGATTTTTAGGATCTTTTTCTGATTTCGTCGCATCGTAAAAGGGTGTGATTGAAATTACTACTTTAATTTTGGTTTTGGTCATGTATAGTGTGCGAATGAAAACAATTTTTTTATCTGAAATTTGTAACTGTTAAAACTACCAAGATCTGTCGACATCATGCTGTAGCCCATCTTTTCCGAATGTTTCACTGTTATATCTATTAATACAGCAGTTATAGACATTAGTGAAGGATATGGTGCATATAATATTGAAAATAAAATTTAAGCAAGAACACAAACGTGTCTATGCAAAATAAAAAATTCAAGTATAACTTCTTGCAATGATGTATGATATCTAAATAAGTGTACCTCATCTAAGAAGATTTAATTTATAACAAAAATTGTATGTAAGGTTGTCTAAATAAGCAACATCATGTAAGAAGACACAAATTATTCTAAAAATTTCTTTGTATTGTTGAGATCTGAATTGCGAGATAGATAATTTAGTGTTTTAAGTCCGCTGATCTTCCGTTTCGCAATTTTCAAATTTCTACCTGTTTCAGTGCTGATTCACCATTCATTATTTTATTTTTTAAACACACACACCAGAAATGTGATTTATTTGAAGTACATGCATTTAAAATGCAAATAGAAAATTAAAATTTAAAATAAATACTTTTTTCAGAAAAACTTTTTTTTATATTTAAAATTTTTAAAAAGGGGACAAAGAGACATTCCGTGAATGATATTAATATTGGATCGAATTGTCTTCCGGGGTCAATGTCTTAGACCATGGAATTTTTAAGTTTGATATCAGCACCTTTAGCAAGAAATTACGAAATTCTATAAATTTTGGCAAAACAGATAGTAAAACAATATCGAATTGATATACGTCAGATATATACAACTGGAAGCTACAATATATTGTGGTGTGCTAATAAATGCCTATAATCCAAAATTCTCAGAAAAGGATTAGAAAAACTTATTAGATGAACCAATGCTCAAAAAACAATGCATTCCATTTCTTTCTCTTATTACAATGTGTAAAAGATCGGAAACAAAATGGGTTTGTAAATATTTGACAAAACATGATTAATGATTTTGCATCAATAAAATTGTTTGCAACCCTATTTTGATCTGATCTTTCTCGCTAAGCAAACTATTTTGTCATCAGTGTCTTTTTTCCAATTAAGACGGGTGACAAAGACAAATGAGGATTTATAAAGTAGAATTATATATTGCTGAACTGAAGAAACTATAACATAAAGTAGACTCAACCATTTCAAACAGAAAAATATGAATCATACTCAATCTTCGCAGCTGGTGATATACTCCAATATTTAAAAAATGAGAAAATGACTGCATGGTTTTCTTAAAAAATATTTTATGCTTAAGTAAATGTAGAAAATTAAATAGATACCTGCTACAAAAATGTATTTATTTAAAAAAAGTACATATTTTGAAAACACGTATTTTGTATTTAGCATTTAAAATACAAAAAGGAAACTAATTTTGAATTTTACGTTTGAAATGACAAATAAACAAGGTATTTGCATTTTGTATTTAAATACTTAAAAAAAAAACATTTTGCACATCTATATCACATACATCTACGTATCTATACATATATTCAACAATTGATCGTCGTGTACTTATAAACCGTCAAAATTCGCAGTTTCTTTATACCTACCCGCTATTTTTACCGAGTTATATAATTTTATTAAATGGCCGATATTTTTTTTACTAATACTTATGCAGTATACATAAAGTTACATGCTATATATATGCATAACAAAAACTTGGGTGCTTATATTAATTAAATAATAGCTTGTTTTTGCCCCACTTATTACTTGGTACGTTAAGCTAATTGATCTTTTATTTTGCTTCTAGACTTACTTACAATACGTTTGTTATGTGCTTAAAACCCAATAAAAACATGCAACTAACAGAATTATTGTTTTTTTTTTCGTATTGAAAATTAGCATTTAAACAGTGGCACAGGTTTGTGCTTTTACTATTTCAGAATTGTAATTACTTTGTAGTTTATTTTAAAGTAACGTTAAATTTCTAAGGAATTTCACGGTCACCAAGTAACATTTACTTACACTCTAACTTTTGCCTTTCTACAGACGGTGGGTATTGTATACGTATTAATAAAAATTCTTTGTGCTATCTTATGTATAATGTGTATGCAATGATAATGTATTTTTTCATAGGCGGCGACATATTGTTTTTAAAAATCGTGCAATTACTAATTAGGTACGTACCTGCTGATAAATGTTGCAATTGAACATTAAAAAAAAAATTCGAATGCTTAATTTTTCTGATTTGTTCGTCTTATCAAGGCGATTATACGTAAAAAATTTTGGCCGATTAGTAATTTTTGAACAATGAAATAGCTACTTCTTTTTTTGTGAAGTAGGCGTACTGATGCTATATAAGTATACATATTTTTTGATTACTTTTATTGCGTTTTCATGTTAAGTTTTAGTATGCTTTAATTTTAAATGTAGAAACACAAATCTTTTTCCTACTGCAATTAATACCGAATTATTCAGTAATTGTAAGTTGACTTATTCAATATTGAATTGGTCATATCTGGTAATTTATTTATGTTTGATAATTAATAATTACTTCGGTGTTTAAATAATAGCGGGATAGACTAGATACAAGAACAGACGAAATATTAAAGCAGGCAGGAGAAACGAATGACAGGGACATAAAGACAGAATCGAACAGATGTATTAGGTCTTAAACAAAACGAAAACAGAAAACCCTGGATAACAAACTAGAAAATACCACAAATGGCGCGGTAAACGCCATCTGTAGTACGATGCTACATTTTAGGATTACGTATGCTCCAACAAGGTCCATTTAAATATATGGATATCTACTTGCTGAAACGAATCCCGGCGTAGCTAACC